GGAGAATATTCTCTATTAGCATGTAGGACTTGAAAACTACTATTGTACTGGGTTGTTCAGTTTTTTCTTCCTCACAAGGGAGGAAAAGCTTGTTTCTCATAACGTATGTACCCCTGTATAACCAACGCCTACTGAAATTTGTGCACATTTCTGCCTTTTACACAGGCACACACTGAATCCTGCTTTCTACACAAGGCACTGTTCTAGTTTCAGCTGGGATAATTTTCTTCCTAGTAGCTAGGAGAGTGCTGTGTTTTGGATTTAGAACGGGAATAATAAACGCACTGATGTTTTAGTTATTGCTGAGCAGTGCTTACAGCAAGTGAAGAATTTATCTGAGTTGGTACAATTTTGGGGAATACAATATTATAAAATGGGAAATATTAATAAGCTTGTAAGTTATCATGTTCATTTATTTATCCTATTCCATAAAAGCAATTGTGTTTTATTTCCTGAGGCCAGCAATCCTTCTGCAAATAACTTCAACAGCCTGATTAGAAAAAGGAGTTATTCTCAAGTTGGACTTACTAGCATGGTTTATAAACATCTTCAAAACAAGTATTTCCAATTCATCTATACAGCGTGTGAAACAGGGCTTCCACAGCCACATTACACTTTTTGTCCCTTTGCTTAGCTTCCTCACTTCATGAACAATGCAAAAGAAAGGAACACCTTAGGACCAGTAACTGTGAAAACTTATTTCAAAGAATATCAATTATGAAAAGGATTAGTTTCCATTCATCTCAGTTTAGAGTACTTTAACACTGACAGATATAAGTAATTCCTGTGCTAATATCATAGGATGATAGAAAAAATAATCTATTTATTTTACCCTGGCTGTACTGAATAGACAAGGACAGGAGTCACTGTTTGCACATGCTCTCATGCTGCTGCACTCCTTTTCATTTCCAAATGTTGTACTTTTTCCACGATCCAGAAGAAAATTCTCTTCAGAAGTAAACAGCAGGAGTGATCAATGTATGAACTAAGAAGATGCTTGCAAAACTTCTCTTTAGATTAAAGCAAGGATAGGCTAAATTTCAAGGCATTTCTTTTTCTCTGTAGCTTAGTGAAGAGGTGATTTAGATGTCTAGCACAGTAATGTGCTAGACTGTGACAGATAAAAGATCAAGAAAGTCTTTTTTTTTTGTGGATATTACCAATTATTGTGTGCTAACAAGCTCTTAAAAACCTTCCCAGGAACAGCTTGACTTTTTATAACTCAGAGGCAAGGATCATCATGGCTATAGATGACTTTTAACAAACTTTTTGATATATTGACCTCAAACCTCCAACCACACTGGTTATTACACATTTAGTCTAAAACACATGGGAAGCTTCTAGTGTAAAAGAGTTCAGGTGACCATATCCACTATGTGTAATGAATGAGGGTGATTTTGTGAAGTTGAACAAGGTGATAGGGAAAATAAATCCAAAATCGCAGCAAGTCCTTAAATTTGTTTATAGATCAGACTATTATGATCCTTAACATTAGGAGGATTTTAATCTACAATAATTGTAAGACTTTGAAAAGGCTTTTAGATAACCAGTACTGGCAACTAATGCAAAGGATATGTATAAAAATAATCAAACTGAGGTATATGTGCTCAAGCTCCTCTGAGCAGGAAAGAAAGCCAATCCATTCATCCAGATAGCTATGGAAGCACAGAACAGATAATCCACCACATCACAGAAACAGGCAAGAAGATGAGATAGTAAAAACCCATCAACATACATCATCTGATCATGGTACGGTGTCATCTCCCAGCCTCTATTAGCTCTTGCTGCATCAGGGCAAGTCCCAGACACTTTATCCTGTTTATAATTGCTGATAAGCAGTAATAAGGCTTCCATGCTTCAGCTCCTGTCTGTTCCAGTTCAGTGCCCACCTATTAGGTTATAACTTTTATTTACAGCCTTGCTTGATGTGCTGTTCTATTAGTACAGGTGGAAACTGAGCGGGGGGGGGGGGGGGGGGGGGGGAAGAAGAAAAAATAAGAGTGCCCCTAATGGGCACTATTATTGCCAGGGCTGGGTGATTTACTGTGCTGCTCGAAGGCTGTTCTATCATTACTTCCTTGTCAGTGAGAGAGCTCGAAGAAGGGTGGAATTCTAACACAGTGACCTGCAGAAGTCAAATGCTAAAGAACACCTTAAAAGTCCCCTGTAACACCAACGAAAACCAAACCTCAAAGCTGTTTTAATGTTACAAACTTCTTTCACTATTATTTTGTGTATTTTTGGCTAGGAGCTTAACACTTGAAAACAATTAAAAAAAAGTAAAATCTAATTAGTGGTGTACCAGGTTCTTTTGTCCTCTTTCAACACAAAGACTGATAAAAAATGATCACACAAAAGTAGTGACTTCTTGGGTTTGGCTTTGGCTGAACTTGTGTACTTCTATTTCCACAACCTGCCCTTTCTGAAACTCCTAAAAGGCTGTCCTCTCAATTGTACGGGTTCAGCCTCAAAGCATTCAGATTTATGGCAGTGCTACAATCAAGCACACACATTAATGTGAGAACATCAATAAACTCAAAACTTCGAAGAGGACCCCAAGCCTGCTTAACTGCTTTGCTCAAGCAGTGCAAGAATTATTTGCATCTTCTAGACTCAAATTTTAAACTAGAAAATGACAGAGCAAGGAGACAGATACTGTAATCTTGTACAATATAAATACTACCACACTGATTCAGGACAGATACCCTCATTAAATGCCAGCCATCTGCACATATAACTATACAAAATATTTAAGATGCACGTTTCTCATGAACTGCTACTGAGAAAGTACTTAAAACCTTACCAACTTTATGGACATAATGTATGAATTGCCTGTATCATTACTGCATTTTATCTGCCCATTTCTACTACCTTCTCTACTGCACAATAAAAAATTAACCGAGCGCACTCACACGGTTCCACTGATTTTTTTTTCCAGATTTCTTTAAGCCACATGAGGATGCTTTAAAACCCGGCTTTGAACTGTGTATTAAATCATCATTAAAGTTGTAGAGCAGAAATAGAAGACTAATATGCCACGTAGTACTGCGCTTTCCTGACATGGGCACCCAATATGAATGGGATCTGGATGCCCGACTGACTAGAGTAAGCCTCACAGTATCTGCTATCAACATTACCTGACCATTAAGAAACAAATCAAAATGCCAAAGAAGCTTGCACTGGCCACACAGCCCCATCTCTTTTTCTGACAAAATCTTCAGACTGCTGGCTCTCAAAAACCTTTGAGGCATCATCCAAGCTAATGATCGCTAGGCTTTATTAACTCCTTTCATTACAATCTTTGTCCTATGGGCACACTTTGGAACAGAAATACTTTTTACCACAGCGATGATTCTGGCGAACAGGAGGAGGAAAAACCCCGCTATTTGGTGTCATAATACAATTCTTTATCTGAACATCTCCTCCAGCATGCAAGCTGACAAGTGCATGAGGTAAAAACTCTTTTTTGGTATGAGAACTTTTCCTGTGTCTTGACAGATTTATTGTTCTGATCTTTCTTCAATGGTTACATTAATGCTAATAAAATACAAAAGGTTTATGTCTTCTTAATACCCTCCTGATGGGAACCTGCCTACAAGATAAGTAGGTCAAATTTCTAATTTTCTGTCTCAAATACTGATATATGGTAGACTTCAGGGGAAAAAAAAAAAAGCCATGCTTGAAGAGGGAGGCAGAATTGCACAGATGAATTCCACCCAAACATTCTGCCTTCAAAGCTCTTCCAAGCAGAAGAAATGCAGAATACTTACAGAAAAGAGGCTTATATGTAATGTGTAGTATTGACAACTATTGCTTACACAGCTTCCTAGGAAGGGACAATAAGCTGAAGTGAATGTAGTGTGAAAGAACTTGCTGGTTTTGGCTGAATAGTTAATTTTCTTCACAGTAGTTAGTGTGGAGTTATGTTTTATTTGTGGTTAAACCGCAACAAATATTCACCTAAGCAGCCTGGTGCATGTGCCTTAAGATGTCACACCATTTCTGGGCAATATTTTACAGTCAATGTTTTCTTGTCAATTCCCATATATATCCAGATTCCCACATGCAGACTTGGAAAACATGGTAATTTATTTTAAAAACTAAAGTTTGCTGAAAATTCAAACCCTGGAGAAAAAAACCCTAACTCCTGGTACAGGTTTATTAGTGTAAGGGACTACAAACAAAATATGCAGATCACTGAGTAAATAATGCAAAAAACATTGGGGGAAATTAAGGTAATTCTTCCCTTCTGCATATTCAACACAGCTCAGTTGTTACATAAATACAGGCAAAATTATTTTGGAAACACAGACTGCTAGATGCCTAGATGCCTGCTACTACCTAGATGCCTGCTACTACCACTCCACAGGAGATTATGGCTTCCCATAGTGGTGCTGGTGGAAAGGACCATATGAGCTCTCCTTAAATCATGCAAAACCAAGTCTGAAAAATATCTGAGCCAATGTGGATAACTTGGCTGCCTGCCTGAATGAGAGCTCACATGATTCTTCATCTCCTGCAGAAGCAGCAACTTCAGCTTGACAATGACCTAACGTGTCACTACTAACAGTAGCTCTGTGAGAGATTATCCATCTATATCCTGTAGAAATAAAGTTACTGAAAGGACCCAAAGCAGGTAAAATTTAGTCTCAATGCAAACATCAGCTGTCTATACTACATCTTCGATCAGTTTTCTACTCAATACTCTGCACTTAAAAGAGGGATTTCCAGATCACAATCGTTAGAGTTAGATCAGACCAATTACTCCTTTATGTCTTATGTTTACAAAATTTAACAGAAATCATGTATTTATGGAATTACGTTTAACAGAACTTTGAGATTAACTATGTGACATACAAATCCTTTTATAGATACATTTCTGACAGCAAAGTGACAATATTCCTATTTCACTTGGCATTCATCAGATATAGTTGACTATTTACAATCATACAGCTACATCTCACACAAAATCTAACTCCTTGACCCCACAAAACACGTACCTGAGTTGCAAGATCTTTTGGTTGGTGTGGTTAACGAGGCATGAGCTGTACTTGTGCATGGCCCACCTGGAATCAGAGAAGATCATATGTCTCAAAATACCACCTACATTTCATATTTACAACCATGTCAAAATTAAACTTAGGAATATAAAACGCTGAGGAGCACTTGTCTTTGAAAAGCACATATGGAAGTAGTCTATTACTCTCAGTATTTCTTTCACAGCCAAGTCCAAATATGTCTGAAAAACTAGATGATAAGTTGGGACAAAAAGACAAGTTACATTATACTTCATAAATATTTCAAGAGGCAGTTTTAGGAAAATACTGTAAATAGCAATTTTTCCAGCCTTGACAAAGTCACTGTTTCTGCCAGAACAAAGGTAGAAATCCATGTAACTAACAAGTATTGCAAGGGACAAAGCGATCACTTCCCTGATGTCAACAGCAACCTTGTCATTGACTCCAGTGAGATACCGGCTTTGCCTCCTAGCTTATTCTCATTATGTTTTCCAACTGTGGCACAAGAATATGCAAACATTCTGTGTTTAAGTTTTTTTGTTGAACTCTGGACTCTTGCTCACTCCTCTGGTATCTGTTTGCTTTTTGGCTTTTTTCTTAATATGCATCATTGTTGAAGAGTGCTCCAGAGATCTCGTTAAAACAACGACCAATTGAGCGTATTCAGTGACTTGCAGTAAAAAATAAACCCCATATAGGGAAGACAAGACAAATCTCAAGTAGCATGACCAGTGGTAATAACATATTTATAACACATTTGATAATTGGATATTACAAATTGGATGATGCCAGAGAGCCTGAAATTAAGTTAGATCTAGTAGAGTTTGCCTACCGAAATACCAATAATCAAGCTTGCACTGGACTGCTGGTGATACAGTAACACTATGCTGGCAATACGATGCAAGTCTTCATGGCCCGAAAAATACTTTTTTCCTTAATTCTTTTTTCATCCCTCACGTATCTGGAAAGCAGCACTGGGGCTCTGGCAATCCTGGTTTCTTGTTTTTTTTTTTCTTTTCAAGTATTTTGAAGTCTGGCCTGTACTGAACTGTTTCTTTTTGCTTCTCTCCAAGATGCTCCCCTTCAAGTTTTGATCCCATTTCTATTTTTTCATTAAATGTCAGGTCTTGGGTAGCTGTCTACCCTATAAAACTCACAGCACTGTAACACTACAAAAAAGGTAAAGACACTTCTGAAATTCAGAAGGAAAAAAGTGAGGAAATTATTTCAGTGCATTTGATTTCAATGAAATGCTCTTGGGACCAAAGATCTCAGTGAAGGACTGGTAAACTTCCCCAAGTTTTCTGTTCTCCAAAAAGTCCCTTTAGCAACATACATATATCTTTTTCTAGGCTAGAATATAAAAAAATGAAAGCATTTTGATTTATGTTAATAATACTATAGTAAAAGGCTCAGAAAATGCCTAATCTAGGGTTTGGTGCACTTGGGAACAAAATCAATACTGCAACAGAACCATGTTGAAAAGTTTTGGATATTCAACAATTACACAGCAACTCTGTTAAGTCAGTCTCGACTTTCAAAGACTGAGTATAGAGTATTTCAATACAGAATTTAAGTAAACAAATTATACAACAGAATATAGACTATATCAAAAAATACACAACAGTGTATGGAAATTCAGTGAATTGACTTCAGACCACAGCTACCTCTGAAGATGCAGCTGCTTTTCCTATACAACTGTAGTTACATTATCTTGGTTTTCACTGACTAGACACTGACAGACATCATCGCTGTGGGCTATCAACACTAATCTTTGCAATTACTGTACAGTAAATGTTTACACTAGCTGATATTTTCAGCATCCAAGTATATACAAGACATTTATTTCTCACTCTCTAAAGCACAATAAATTGGTACATATTCTGCACTTCCCTATGTCAGAGTTTTTCTTTTATTTGGTTTTCCTCATTAGATATTACTTTCATATAGCTTTGATTTGCATAGCACAGCACCAGAGTTTCAACAAAAAATATCTTGGGACTTGCATGCACATACACCAGTGCCCAATAACCAGCGAAGGCAGCATCTCCTTCCTTCTGCTACTGTTTCTGTTCTACCATTAAAAATGCCATGCATAATTCAACAGTAGGTTGTATGGGCTTGACTGTACAATTCTACATGGAAGGCACTACGTTGAATCTTTTGGCATTTTCTCTGTATTATTTTAAACAGGGCAGTATATTTCTCATTGCTTTGAAAAAAAAATCTGTATGAAAAAAAGAGGGAAGCAACGTAACAGTAGAACACAAGTCCTTCTTGGCTGTACACAAAGGTAGGCTTATAATTTAGATGATTCAGGATATATCTGCACCTTCATTCCCCCCAAAAATAAGTGTTCCAAATTTAACTGTGGTACATAAAACATTTCAGAATACAGTGAAAGGCCATACATGTCTAACTCCTAACATAACCCATGGGGCTGCAGACTGCTGTTTTTTCGCAGCACAAACAAGAGATTAAAATGGAAGAATAAAGATACCTTTCTACTCTATATCCAATTAACATATTAAGCAATAGCTTCTGCTATTTTTTTCCATTGTAAGGTTTCTGGCATTTGCAACTCCTCTTCCAAACAAAAGCTGCCACTGCCCAGCAATAATGTAATCCCAAGAGAAGATTAAAAATGCAAAACCACTGAAAGCTACTGAAGAAATTACAACTGTGAGAATTGCTGAGTTTGCAAATTCAAACACAGAATTAATGAAGGCCAAAAAAGATCTTTTAACTAGAACATTATCATATATTAAAACAAAAGGTCTTGCAGCTGCTACGGTTTTGGCTTTTGATATCCCTAGCTTTCTGGGGCTTTCTGTTAACTGTACTCTAAAATTTGGAAAAACAGGTTCAAACCAGTTCCTCTGCTAAATCTCTAAAGTAGTAGAATTTTACATATTACTTATATTTCTATATAATGTTAATATTGTTACTATTATAGGCTATTATAATTTCTCTATGTTTAAACTGAAATTTAGAATGCCTTTCTGCATTGTCTGCCCTCCCTTCCTGAAAGTCAGTAACAATTAGCAAGTACCACCTGCCCCGTAGGACATATCCTGAGGCAGGGTAACTTTTCATTTCTTCTTCTGAAGTCTTGGTAACGTAAAGTGACGCTACTCAGTCAGAACTGTGCAGGAAAAAGTGAAATACCAGGGTAAACTCCCCCCTGCTCCTGCTGTTCAAGGAAGTGCTAAGTATGAACCCAGAGCACAGGTGTGAGGTGTATTAGAACAGCATTTGGAAGTGCTTACTGAGCAGTGGATGAGATGCAGAATGGAGTGCAACCAAGCTTGTAGATGAGCACAAACCCTCTAAGTCAGATAAAGAAAAAAATGGAAAAAATGAGTGAGGGAGCCTGAAGCTCAGTGACACTTGATCACAGTAACACAAGCATGCCTGAATACCAGTTTTGAGCTTTTGGTACTGTGATGGTTCCCTCCCAGAAAAAGCACACCAACTCTCTGCATGCAATGGGCCAGAAAAGGGTAGTAAGAAAGAGCTGAATTTCTTTGGACTTCAGCAGTGTAGCCAAGACAAGGAGAACTTCATGGCTATTTCAATGCATGGAAGAACCCACCTTTGGAAAACTGTCCAAACCAGTAATCTAGTTGTGCATTTCCTGAATAGGTAGAGACATAACCTAATTAATCTACATAATTGAGTTTGAAGACAGTCATTGATTTCAAACACCAATACCTAAACAAATGGGAACATAAATCTCTAAATTCAGCCTGCACAAACAGAATATACTTTCTTTAAGGAAAGAAAAAGGCAAAAGAACTTCACAGCACTTGCAAACTGCTTATTTGCTGCAAAATGGGTAAGCTGCATTATAATTTAAGTGATGTCACTACTAAACAGATAAGAGGATTACGTCACATGCAAACACATACTTTTAAAAATCTCATCTCACAAACCTGCCATTATTTACTTTTGTGGATTTATTTACATGTAGCTTTTGGAGAACTAAGCGAAACCTGGACTGCTTTGCTGCTACTGAATGGCTAGTAGGCTTAACAACTGTAGCAAAGTAAATGGAAACAGGAATCAGATTCCCCTTTTTTCTCTGCTGTTGTCTCACTCTGTTACCTGCTCTTCCTCAGTTTCCTCATTTGTAAAACAGAGACGGCACTTTCGTACTTTATAGGTGTAAGTCAAAGTTTAAAAAATGTGCTTTTGAAATCGGCAGTTAAATTATATTTTTATAAATCATTTTTCTGTAACCTTGATAGCTCTGCAGCTCTAACCCACATTTTTATTACGTGACTGTGTTTCTGTTTCCTGTTCCATAGGGTCCTTTCACTTTAATAAATGGGACTCCAGGATACACTGTCTACTCTGCAGTGTGAAGTGACTATAAATCAGAGGGAACAATCAACAGCGATACCACTCCTCTGGTCTTCATTATGTTTCAAAATTATCATGCCACAGACGTGGAAAGAAGTGTTCATTTCATAAATCTATGTGCAGATCTTTTTTTAAGATGTTGTGGGAGCCAGAAATGTTCTTTAAATGAAACTGGGTCTGTAGGAATTAGACTGAAATTTACAGAGAGAGCCTCATGCCATAAAAGATGACAAAGGTGACAAGTCTACTAGACACTGTTTTGTTCAATCTACCTGTATGTTCTGTACTGCCACCTAATTCTAGTGGCATTTCTCAAAAGATGACTCAAACAGCCCACAGCCCACAATATGGTTTTATATTTGAAAGTATTCCCGCAAATTGCAAGAGAAAAAGTGTTTGCATCAATACTAAGAAAAATACATATTTTGTGATAAATATTCACGAGAAATCCAGGTTTGATAATAATCCAAATGAAAGCCTGACTTGCTGTTAACATTAAAAAGAGTAACAAAAGGCTATTTGTACATAGCAACTAATGAAAACAAGACTGAAAGAAATTAAAAATAAATCCCTCAAGATATAAACCACCTTTTGCTACTATCTAACTTAATAAAAGTAAAAGCCTGAGAAAATAGCTAGTTCTTATTCTGTGGCACAGGAACCCAAAGATGCCTGTAATACTAAAAACCAGCCAGGCGCATACTCTATATGAGAGTTCCCTATAGTCAGAATTAGGAGAAAGAAAAAAGGAAAAAAAGACAAAAAAGGAGAAGAAAAAAGAAAAAAAAAAGAGTAAAAAAGGAGAAAGAGAGAGAACAAGAGAGGGGAAAAAAAAAAAAAAGGATGTACAAAACTGACTCCTACTGCAATAAGCAACTGAATTCTCTAGGCCAGGGCATTTAGTGAAGTATACAATGGATAGCATCCAAGAGCAACTATCATTTGAAAGATCAATATCCTTACTTCAAAGCCACAAAACACAATTAAGGATACCACAGTAATAATTCAAAATCTGAAGTATTTTCAGGGCATACTCAGGGAAGCTGCCATCTGACTCTGCTGACAAATCCAGGCAAAACGCAAAAACTGTGAAGTTATTAAATATCAGTACAAAACCTTTTGCACAGTGTCAAAGAGAAGGCCATTCAACAAAAAAGAAAGAAAAGAAAGGATGCACTTTGCTTATTCATTTTTTGTAAGGTTATGTTAAAAAAAAATACTTTTTTATTCCAAAGACAGAAAAAGATATCATTACTTTTCTACTACTATAGGCTTATTTGGCTTTTTACACAGTCATGCTTCAACGAGCCAAGAAATTCAGAGTATAAGCATTCATTAAGTGCAGTAGAAAAATAATCACTCACTTTTCTGCCAGACACCTTTTACAAAAGCCTGGTACTACAGCTGAGGCAGAGATACACTCCTTATGTACACATAGTAACTTCACCAACATAACTTCATAACTGGGGGTATTTCAGCGCTTGTAGCACATGCAAATGCTTAATAAAACAAACTATTTCAAAACATTTTCAAACTTGAGATTCTTACAAGCCTAAATGTTTGAAATAAACTGATGGTGTTTTAAACACAGCTTGACATGCAACAGTTCAAGTTGTGGAGGGTATACAACAGCTAGTCAAAAGTTACAGAAATTAAGGCCTGAAAATTCATATTTGGTCATTTAAAATTCAGCACACACAGCCGTTAGGTATGGTCAGTGACCTGGGCTGAAATCTCTAGTGCATTTTTTGACATTTACAGCAGTATCTCAGATTTCTGTGCACCTTTTCATAATAACTTCAATGTGGAAATGCATTTAACTGTTCTGGAAATGCCAGGTACTCGTTTTGTCCTTTTTCAATTGTGGTTCTTGCTAATTCAAGGAGGCCAGGAAGTGTTAAGCACATAATTAAAATAAAATCTTGTCAACTGAAGCTAAGAACTACTGAAATACCAAATCTGAGCCAGATGCCAGAGTCAGAGTCGTTCTCATTGACATTTCTCCTGTCACATAACACCACAGTTAGTTTTAAACCTGCACAGTGTTAGCTTGAGGTCTATTTATATAGTGACAGAAAAATAATGTGACAGCCCTAAGGAAAGCAATGAAGGCCTGAAACTATGCAAAATTATTCTATATGCAGTGTGACCTTTTCTTTACCAAAATGCATAAAACCTTCCTTAATAAGTTAATTTTTTTGTAAGACTGCTGGTGGCTGAAGGTAAAGAGAGGAAGAAGTGAGGGCCACTGTCAAATCCCTTTTTCCTGCCTCTTAAAAATCAACAAATACCATGCCCACCCAATAACAAAAGGAAAACTTTGGCAGAACAACCAGCTCATATGCTGACTGACACTGAAATTAACTACCATTAGGACCATGGACAGGAAGTGAGGGAAGGGAAAAATTAGAGTAGAGGAAAACTATCCAAGAACTTGAACAGAGAAACTTATCTGCACATAAAGCATCTGAAAAACAAGAGTTAGACAGATTTAACCATTAGTTAAGAAACAGATCATTAAAATTCATGCAAATCTAGACTTTGTAAGGCTATGGCAGTACCAATATACACCTTCTATACAAAAGTTTATTTCAGAAAACTTACTGCAACTGATGAGAACTGAAGGTTCTGGATAGTAAAAGGCAACTAAGAAGTATACGTGGGGCAGGAAAGAAAAAATAGAAAAACTAAATCATAGAACATTCCCCCTCCCCCCAAACTACAACAGCTTTTTTTTTTTTTTTTAATTGATGATAGATAATACTTCATAAAAAGAAAACATACGTGAAGGAGGAAAAAAAATAAGTCTGTAAGTCCTGAAGCTTCCATCACTGTCTCTGGGCATAAATATTTAACACATTTTTGTTGATTCTAAGACTAAGAATTACCTCCAGCTAGGTAATTCGTCTACTAGGGGACGAGATGCTAATCAGTAAGGCAGCCACTGGGGTAGATGACTGCTCGTAATTGAGGGTGGCAGGAGATGGAAAGTCACTACAACCTGGTTGGGTATATAAGACACTTGGGAATGCAAATTCAACTGTCTCAGAAAATCAAAACAGTAACAAAATCAGGCAGAAATACTTGCATATTGTTGAACTGAACTCCTGCAAAATTCAATCCAAGGAACTTTTCTCTTATATCACCCCCTGTGTGTTAAAAAAGGAAATGGCTGCTTAAAAACAAGTACAAAAAGTCCCCTCACTTTCTTTGACACAGAATATGAATCTTACCACATAAGATTTCTATGGTTCTATTCAGTTATCGGAACATGAATGGAATTTGTGAATTGCTTAAATGACTTGCTGCAATTCTGTCCAGTCTGTGCACCCTATGGACTCCAGTACTATAGCAAAATCTTTGACATGAGACTGTTCTCAAAAGCTTTAGAGAGAAGAGAGGGGAGTGGAATGCACCCCGAGAATCCTTCCCGAGTACTCCATTCTTTCCACGCCTTCATAGGGATTACCATAATGATCCCATACATTGATTACTGGTGAATTACCACAGTTCCATTCAGAACAGCACACAGCTGTACATTATTGCATGGCACTGCATATTATTAATCTTTGAGGAACACAGCTGCAATAAGAACAGTGCATGCTTTATAGAACTTGCTGCATAATAAATAAATATTGCACAGAAAAAGACACCCTCAAATTAAAATCAAAAAGACATTTGAAGTTTGGGTATTCTTCACTACTGGAAAGAACCTTCCATGCTAAGGCCATTATCTATCAGAAAAGCTCCATCTGTGTACAATTATTTCCGATAAATGATATTAAGCTTCATTAAAGAGGTAGTGGGGATGTGAGTGAAGACAGAGAGCTCAAGCTGTAAATAAATCTCTTCACTGTATTTTACTTAAAATCACCCCAGCAGGAGGTCATAAAGAAATTTTTTTATAGGTAATATTTTCAAATGCTCTGCAGGCTGTGCTGCCTATTATCCATCACCTTCAGTGTATGTTCATAATCTTGCAACAATTCAGGATGAAGGACACTATTCAATTTCTTTCCCATCCCAGTAATCACCTTCCCACTTACACCCAAGTCCTTCTTAGCCACAACAGAAACACTTCGTTGTAACACAACTGAATTTCTAACTGAACAATCTTTCAGAAAACCTGACCCACAGGCACTGGAGAAGCACCCTGTAACACCAAAAAGTCTATCCTGGCTAATAAGCCAGCAGAGGTGCTGAAGCCCCCTGCCCTGTGGAGGCCCAAATGTGTTGCTGAAGCATGAGTTTTTGCTGAATTTTCTAGGACGGTTGTTTTAAAGCCTTGTTTTTACAGCAAACTACAGGATTCCCCAGGAGAAGCACTGGACAGAAGGAAGAGATGATGGGCGGTCAGCAGCAACTGTGTATGCGAAGGAGAGACAAAAGTTACACGGCAAATTTACTCTTATTACACGAGCTGGTATCAGAACAGTCACGTTTGAACCTTGCTATATTTCTGACAATATTCTCACATGCAGATAGAAAACAGTAACAAAAATATTATTTTCCTTAGTCTCATAAACTGCCACAATCCCCAAAATGACAATCTGTGATTTGTCCACAGCCAATCTGCAAGAGTAAAAAAACATATGCAAATCTACATACCTGAAAAGAGAATAAATACCTCAGCAACTTGGCAAAACTATTTATGCAGATAGTTAATGCAAGTATAGTATATCAAAGATTTTTCAGTCCTAGTGCTTTGTCAGCTTTGTTACTTCCAGCAGTTGCCTCAATGTTGAGGAACTGGAGTAGTTCTCTCAAATTTCCTAACAAAATAAAAGCCTGTTTTTCTTGCAATGTGTATTTATCAGCCATGCTGTAAAGTAAACTCAGCTCGAGAGGGACTGTCTCCATAGAGCACCTTCTAAACTAAAGCCACAGCTGGAGGAAAATCAAACTATAAATTACACATTTAAGCTTAAGTTATAGAATGCAAATTTTAAAACTCAGTACATTAGATACTGAATGAATTTACACACTGGTTTAGAATAATCTAAATTACAACTTTATCTCACTGTGTTTTGCTAATCTTTGGTATCTCATCTTACCTTCAGGGAGAATTTTTGCCTGACAGTTCAATAAAGAAGAAAGATGGGTCATGAAAGGAGAGACGGACTGCCACATGAAACTCAAGTTTTATGCAAACAACCTAACAGCAGTGTGGACAAATACACATTACAGCCAGTGCTTTGTGCAACTGCAGTAGTTTAAAACCATAAGGTTTTAAAGTCAAATTTCACAAGATACTGGTGTTTATCCTACAATATATGTATTTATTTACTGGCAATGTATGAAGGAGTTTCTCAATATGAGAGTGCCTCAAATCATAATGAAATTGTATACTGCAGTTCAAACAGCTATAAGGTCAGTTAGAAAATCCCATAACACCTTTTAGTTTGTTCTTTGGTTAAAGCCATGAATGTCTAAGTTGTGAGTAACATCCAACCCTTCCCCTTGCCCCAGAAGACAGGTCATTGACTTCCAAAGGGAGTCAGTGAAACATAAGCCTGAGGACAAGGTAAAATGTTCATGTCTCCTTTGCTGTCACTCAGGAGTCATGCACTTACATTCCTCTTTGCTCGGTGAAGTTACATTCAGTTCTGTCAAAAGTTGCTGGTTGGAGTTAGCGGCCTGCATGGTTAGAGAGGTATTGCTGTTGTCACTGTTTGTTTCTCCAGAGAACAAATCTGACTGGCTGTTGCTTGTGCTGGGAGTAGAGTCATCGTCCGGCTGTTTCTTCTGGAAATCTGTCAAAACCAAGATTTCATACATCATCCCACTTGCTCAATCTCACCATCCAACTTTATTGCAAAAAAACAGCCCAGCATAACAAAAATAATCACAAAATACTGCCAGAGGTATCATCATTGTGACCATTCGTATATCTCATACAACACAAAGAGCAGTCTTCAAGTTTAAGCAGTCTTCAAATTTAAAATAGCTGTAAAAACTTATTTGTTCTTGAAGAACAATACATGTTTTCAGAACTACACAGAGGTCTTGTTTCCCCAGCCATTCAAGAACATCCAAAGCTTGCCACTGCATACATCAGTATACAGCACATGGCATCATTTTAAAAACAGTTCACACAAAACACATACATAAAGGAGCAAACATCCAACGAGGAAAGAACTAAGGCATGAAATACGTGTGTAAGGAAATGTTACGCTTCTCTTAACACAATCCTTCTCCTTCCTGTTATATAAAACAACACCAGTAACAGTTTTGGCACAGCAGACAGCTATGGTTCTGGGTTGGCATGGGGGAGCTGGTGAGGGGTTTGCCTTTGTATCCCATGTTTGGTGGGTGTTTGGTGGTGGTGTTCTCCCTTCTTCTTTTTGTCACTTACCCCAACACTGGCATTCAAAGCTGCTTATTGATCTATGACCATGGAATTAAACATGGGAAGTAAATCACTACAATACATTAGAACTATTTACAAATGATCTGATTTCAAAGTTTTTTTTTTCCAGCAAGTGCCAACTCGCACTAGGTCTCTAAACTGCACCAGCAGTCCAAATTCCACAGCCCTGACAGCTGCCCTCCTCAGGCTTATCTTGCCTCCAAAGCAGACTCAGGTTTGAGGGAACATACTCTTTAAATGCAAATCATCCCTTGAGGGCTTTTTTCCCAAACAAACAGTCCTGATACCTGATTGCTACAGCGTTAGTCTCAGTTCCTACCAGCTACACTACTGATTTCAGTCTGGCACAGCTCTGTCGCTGGATGCCCCCCGGGAACACCCATCCCAGCCAAGTGGATTTTGGTCTGCTTAACGTCCAGTTACTCTCACAATGCAAAGGCACCTCTTCCTTTTAAAATGACAGATGAAGATGAAAGACATCATCACCTCTTCGTGTTCCTAAACACTTTTTTCCCCCTAAAAGTGGCATACAAAGTCAGAATTTAACCATTACACAAACACATACATAAATGAGTATTCGGTTGCTCATTATTATGTCATGACAGGGAGGAAAACAGAGGAATCCATAAATATTTACAGATAATGACATGTTAGAAACATGGATGATCAATATGACTGAGATTGGAAGCACTGTTCCTAAAAGTTGATTAAGGATTTAAGTTATTTGCCAGAGAAATTAAGCTGTAACTTTTGCTGTGAAGAGTCAGCAGTCACCAGAAGCTTGAAGAGGAACAACCTCAAAGCCAGGAGGAGAAGGAAGGTGGCAGCAACAGGAAATAATCCAGCTCCACAACACAGTGCTGAAGAGCTGGTACGATGCTTTTTGTCACGGGTGAGTTACCGGACACAGGAAGATGTCCTACTCAGGACTCACTAGTTATCAACAAAGTTTCAACCAAGCTGGGCTACTGGATATTACTACTACGTTTGTGCAACCAAGAAAGCTTCAACCACTTGGGATTCTGCACCAGCCACAGCGATTATAACTGGAGCCACCATCCCATTAGATATCCTCCACCCAACTCTTCATGCCCATACCAAGGCCACAGTCCTGACAGAAGGGCAGCTCACAACTGGAGGCATTTTGGGAACCATCAGTCTCTAGCAGTCTATAAACAACCAGTACAGAATACAAATTACAATTGTGCAGGTTGCTTGCTAATAAAAGGTGGCTAAAAAGATTTTAAGTGGTTTTACATAAGATTGCATTCAAGGCAGTGCACAGAACAGCTGTGCTGTGCGCACATATTGCAAGTTGAAGCAACTCCATCTTCAAGGAGCAGAGCAAATATAATGGTTATGCTCAATATTATACACTGCGAGCAATCTACAGAATGCATTAGAAAGAAAGTGGAGAGTTACAGAACAGCAACAGATACTATGAAATCCATTAAAAATCAGCACAGTTCAAAATTCTCAGCCAGCTGGGATAGCTGCAAATACTTTACTCAGGCTGCACTTCCTCACTCCAGTCTCTGTATATGCCAAAGGGCATTTACAGGGAAATGTAAAACATTTTTACAAAGTGGCCTATATAATTAAAGTCCTGACAGTCCTTTCACAACACTATGGTAAGTACCAGTACTACACTGTGTGTCCCAAAGCTGCAAGTTTAAGAGCACGTTGACCAAAGAGGGCTGGGTTTTCGTTTTCTTGTGAAAAACTGTTCACTTTTGCAACCTAAATAAATTGATAAATTCTCCAACTTCAAAGGCAGCATGCCAAAAACGGTCATTCAGCGACAGCATTTCCCAACATGATTACTAGTGAAACACTTCAGAGCCATCACATAGCAGCAACATCCACCAAGGCAGTTAAATGCCATTTGCATTCATGAATCCAGGACCTTGTGGTCAGAACTTGCTTTTACTTAGACTACAAATCAATTAACTTTCACAAAAGTCATAGTCTGCTCAGTTGTGTGGAACCTGAGAACATCCCCCGGATCTCACTTTTTAACCACTTTTTCACTGCAGACTTAAGTACTTGAGGGAAGTGTTTAGACTACTGTCCTGGGTTCAGCAGTAGCAGTCATTTTTTCTCCTTCTTGGTAGCTGGTGCAGTGCAGTGTTTTGACTTTCAGCTCAGGAACAGAGCTGATAACAAGGATGTTTTGGTTTGGCCAAGGACTTTGTGAGCCTCATGCTCTGCCAGGGAGGAGGGGAAGCCGGGAGGAAGCAGAGACAGGACACCTGACCCAAACTGACCAAAGAGGTATTCCATACCACAGCACGTCATGCCCAGGGATGTAACTGGGAGTTAGCCGGAAGGGCTGGGAGACTGCAGGGTTGGAGGAGGTATCGGTCGGAGCTTGGTCGGGCTTGGGGGGCGAGTTATCGGTCAGCGGGTGGTGAGGTGTTGTATTCTCTTCCCTTGTTATTTCCTTTATCATTATTATCATTGGTGGTAGCAGTAGTGATTTGTGTTATACCTTAGTTACTAAACTGTTCTTATCTCAACCCGTGGGAGTTGCATTCTTTTGATTCTCCTCTCCGTCCCTCCGAGAGCAGTGGGAGGGCAAGAAAGGGAGGGAAGTGAGCGAACGAATTACCTGACTGGGTTTAAACCACGACAACTACTTACCTCAAGCACCAGAGACATATTAACTATAACCGGTTATACTACTTACTTACACTACAGCAAATTACTAACAGTTGCCTCCATAATGTGGTGTCAACAGCAATACAGGACCTATATATATAAACATAGTTTTTATAACAAACTTGACCTAAATTATCAACAGATTTCTAAAACACTGCTTCATAATTCATGGTCCAGTATTCACCTAGGACAAAAACAGATCCAATGATATACTGGATCAACTGTATTATATTTCCTCTGCATATTGGTGGATGGCATTTGGCTTTTGCTAATGAGGACTCTCGTTAACACAAATAACTTGCAGATCCATTTGATCTCCCCCCCACCCCAGCACAATAAAAGCTGGCAACAATTACAGGAGAGCCGGGGCTTAAGAAACCCAGTTATGCTTTAACTCTTAATAAAGCAAAACAAAAACACACACACACAATACAGACAGGACCTTGGCATGTTCTGAAGGGGTGGCTTTATTCTGATTAAAATCAGAATGTAATTCTGGTGACAGAACAATGACCTCTCCTAATAGCCTCAATGAGAAAAAAAAACAGAACAAGAGTTGGCAAGGTATTTATCACCATTTCCAGAAGTTTCGATTTATCAAGAAATGCATGCAAAACACTTCTTTTAATTATTATTATTTTTATTAAGACTTTCACTATGCTGGTAAAATTTGTGCCAAAATGCACAATAGCTAACTGTAAATCCACCAAATCCATGTTTGTCTTCTCTAGCTAATGAAACTCAGCATTGTAACTTTTTATAGGAACTTCAACTGGTACCCAGGTTTACTGGAAACAAACTTTCTCCATTTGTTAGGAAGTATGTTTTCTTTTTCTTCTCAACACCCTCTCCTTTTCCTCACTGCCTTCAGTTTTGGTGTTTTTTTGTGGTTGTGGTGGTTGTTTTCATTTTTGATATTCTGGTGCTAGTTACAAGGCAAAACCAGCACCAAAATTAGATGTGTAAATTTCCTGCATGGGGGAATAACAGAAGGAAAGATCTGTCAATAAAATGCAGGAAGTACATACAATAAACTATTACTTTATAGTAGAGAAGCTGCCAGTCTTTTGTTTTGTTGAGTTTTGGAGCTGCGCCCAGCATCTCAACCAGGTGAGCAGGAGCAGAAAATCTCAAGCATGGCTGTCATGCACTACATGCTAATACGAAGTGTGTTGTTTTTCTTTCGTCGCTTAGGATTTCTTTGTAAACTAAACAATGACAATGTGAATGTATAGACACAATAGAAAATTTCATATTCTAGGTATACAATGAATTAAGAGTTTACACTAAAAGGCAGGCAAGAAGCCTGATTTGTTTCCAGACTTCCAAAGCCAAGTTCTTTTGCAAGGCAATCTTCTGTTCATTTTTATTCATAAAATAACATTATAATGAAAGCCACTGTGTTTACAGCTTCTGATTCTAACCCATAAAACCAGAGGTGCTACATGAAATCATGTCTTCTGCACAGGACTAGAACTAGCATATTTCTCTGGTTATTCTTACCAGGTTATAGGAAGCAATCAGAAAGAGCCCATCTACCCAATATGATGGATTTCACCCATTACCTCAAGATCAAACTAAGAAATATTTAAAACATCCAACCTCCTCCACCACCTAAAATACTTCAAATTCTGTGATACAAAAAACCAACAAACAAAAAACCCCTAAGGAAATACTGAGTTCTCGACTTTTTCTTAACTATAAGGGGTATGTAACTAAAGG